ATTACCGATCCAGGGATGACACTGAAGCACAGAGACTTGACCGTTTGAGGCCGGGTCGCTACAATCGTCATGATTATTTGAAGTTTTATCAATTTCCCAACATTAATTTGTTTACCCACCATTTGCTATTTTTCTCGAGAGAAGCAACTAGTGAAACCTACGCCCCCCGGGTCTCTTCATTATTATATTTGCCTTGCGATCTATTTTTATTTGCTTTTATTTCCAGATCTATTAATACAAAAACCCAAAAATATCTTGCTGCATTTATTTATTTCTTTTATCTCGCGTTCCCGCGAGATCCATTTATCCAATCTACTACACTTTTACCTATCTTTTTACCCGTGAGGGATTGATAACCCCGCTCTTATGTCGGTTGTAAGTGTTTGTTCTTTGTGTGCAGGAGCTGTTTACATGGTGTTGTGTGGTTCTTCTACTGGTTCGATAACCTTGGTCTCATCACTAAGGGAAATACCTACCGTTGTTGTGCTGCATCATCCCTTCCTCTTTGGGAAAATACCGACTTAGTTCAGGAAAACATCATGCACCAAGTCCTCAAAAGCCCATGTGGCTAGAGAAGGCAAAAAAGGAAGGAGTCCTAGTAGGAATAGGATTGGACTTGGAGTCCAAGTCCTCTCCCCCTTAGCTGCGCCCTAGGGCTTGGAGGGGTTGTTTCCCACGCCCCTCCACCTATATATAGAGGGGAAGGGGCGCCCCAAGAGAACCCACCAAGCCCTTGGCGCCCCTCTCTCTCCCGTTACTCCGTAGTTCCACCGCCTCGTCCCGACGATGCTTAGCGAAGCGCTGTTGGTGCTCCACCACCACCATCACCACCACCCCGTTGTGTTGGGTGTGATCCCATCTACTTCTCCTATCCCACTTGCTGGATCAAGAAGGAGGAGACGTCATGGAGCTACACGTGTGCTAAACTCGGAGGTGCCGTCCATTCGACACTAGATCGATTGGATCGTGATCGGATCGCGAAGAGTACGACTACATCAACCACGTTGATAAAAGCTCCCGCTTAGCGATCTACAAGGGTATGTAGATGCTCCCCCCTCTCATAGCTATGCATCTCCATGGATAGATCTTGCGGGTGCGTAGAAATTTTTTGTTTTCAATGCAATGTTCCCCAACACTGGCAACTCTCTGGAATTCCATGTAGACATGGAGTTGCATGTTTAAGATAGGAAAGAATTAAACCAGAGGATGTTGTCAACAAGTGCTACAACATTGATGCTTTCGAAGCTCCTTATGGCAAGATCATAGTGCCATGTAGTGATCTTAGAGTGTGGCCAAAAACTAATGGGCCTCAAATGCTGCCACCAAAGTATGAGAAGAAAGTTTGTAGGCCTGCAAAGAAGAGAAAGAAGAACCCACTAGAGGAGGCAAATGAAACTAGGATGAGCAGACATGGCATTATTGGACACTGCAGTGTGTGCAATCAACCAGGACACAACAAAAGAAAGTGCCCTGAACTAGGTAGAGGACAACCAACAACAACACAAGATCCTAGAGCAGTAGAAGGGGTAGCAGCAGAACATGAGCCAATAGCAGAAGAGGCAACAACTAAACATGAGCCAGCAGCAGAAGAGGCAGCAACAGAACATGAGCCAGCAACAGAAGAGGCAGCAACAGAAGATGAGACATCAGCAGAAGAGGCAACAATAGAACACGTGCCAGCAACAGAAGATGAGCATTAGTACAAGAGCTACAACTAATTCAGGTTGTGCTTCCAGAAGCACAACAAAGAACTAAACTACCAGTCAAGAGGAGGCCAAGTTGCAAGGTGCATTTCCCTTAAATGTTGAGATTTCTCTTAAATGTTGACATATTTCTCAAATTGCAATGCTCAACAACATTTCTGTTTTTTTGCAGAAAAAGGCATGCCCACAAGTGGGCAGAAGTACATCCAGTATGATTTCTTTTTCTATGACTTATGATCTTGCTTCATCTACTTTGATTGAGATTTTACAAGACCAAGTGAGTTCTTTTTATTCAAATGCAATGTTAATAAATGCAATGACATCTGTTCTTTCATAAATTCACCCACAATACTAACTACATGTTTGGTTTGTAGGCTATAGCTACTCAATAATCTCAAACAACAGTGCCAACTCCTCTACCAGAAAGCCAATTCATTGCAAACTGCAGAGATGCCCTGCCCCCTCCAAGAAGCCATACTACTGCTACACTAGGTTTGAAGAGAAGGAAGAAAGTGAAAAAAACCAAGGAGAACAAAGCCCCAAGAACTCAGAAGTGAAGAGCTACAAATGTGGCACATTTTGGACATATTTTGGATAGAACCAAACTTGGACATATATTCTAGAAAGTAGTAGTGTAGGATGTTTTGTTTTGTTTTTGGTTAGTAAACAAGATGGTTTGTAATGAAACCTGATGTTGGGATGTGGCTTTGGGTTTCACACAAACGATGGAAATGTAATGTTATTTCCTACTTTTGTTGCACAACTTCAAGACCTTGTAATGTTAAACCCATCTATCTATCTTTTAGACTGCTTTTAAGTTCAATTACTAGTAAAATAAAGACCTTGTATATTACTATTTATTTGTGCCATCAATGCTAGTAAAAAATGCTACCAAAGTACAGAAAAACAAACAAAATGAAAATTTTAGTTCAATTTCATTACCACAGTACATGATCAAGATCTGGATACATCAACAAGCATTGAACACTGGATACATCATACTACCACATCACTTCTTAAAGCCTACATACACCACTACTACAATCAGTACAACAAGTGCACTAAGAATACTCTTACAAAGAAAAATGAGCTCATTCATCTTCTTCAGTACATCTACATACACCACAGTCTCAACAGTGCTCTACATTGCTCCTGCACATTCCTCTTGCACCTCTGTTTCTTCACTTGCAATGACACCAGCCGAATCAAAACTACTCAATCCACGACTGATATACCCACCTCTCACCAAAAAATCAAAATAGTTGTGTGGTCCATCTTCCTAGTAATAATGTTGGAAAGAATTTGGTGGAATCTGACAGAAATTGAGTAACAGAATTCAACAAAAAAGAAACACATAAACATCAAACCGATTGGGGCACTTGTAGAAAATTTTACATGGTGATTGGCGCACTTGTAGAAAATCCTGCCAGGATTTGCCTCCGATTTTGACACAAGATGAATTGTAGATCGAATGTGGCAGTTAGGGTATGGTACCAACGACAGCAGACCCGCTAGTGCCGATGATGAGATGGGCGGGGAGAAAAGGGCTAATGCCGGAGGTGGAAGGGGCACTTGTACAACCGTCTTCCCGCGACGCTTCACGGCAGACGAGCTAGCGGCGACGGACATGGCGGCGACGCCAGAGAGAGGGAGAAAGCGAGCAGAAGACCTAGGGACTGGGGAATGAGGAAAGCATAAACTCTAGGGGCCACATTGTTTAAATTCCCAACCGTGAGCCGCAGGAATCTCCCGCGTGGGTCCTCGAGTCGACGTGGCGGCGGTCAAAGCGCCACGCGAGCTAGTCAACGGCGGTCAGACGAAAAAAGGACCTCACGTGAACAACTTAGAAAGATTTAGGACCTAGATATGCATTTTAAAATAATTAGGACCCAAACGACACTTTTGGGAAAGAATTAGGTAGAACTCTTTGCCTGCTGGTTTTGTTTTGCAAGAGAAGATATTGGGCCTCTCGTGGGCCAGTTTTTTGGGCGAGCTAAAGCCTAAAACAAAAGGCCCTAAAAGAAAATCCTAAAACAAAACACTGCCCCGCCTCTCTGTCATCCATCGGCCAATGGGAGCACCTATACGGCGCTGCACGCGCCCGTTCGCGCTCCTGGCGCCTGCAGCGCCCCGCGCTGGGCCGGCCCACTAACCGTGGTGACAAGTGAACGCAAAAACCTTGCCAAAAAAAATGGAAATTAATAATGCTCTCTACATGATTCGAACTTATCACATCGTGTTAACATATACTCCAGACGAGCTACTAGCCAGACGAGCTACCTGCCGTTGTTGGTTAGTACAAGAGGCGAAAGCATAATAACAGGATTGCAGCGCTATTTTATTCATCTATTGTACCACTTCATTTTTTTGAATTAATTGGAAAAAAGATCATGTATTGAAAAAAGTTTACATCGATTTTGCAAAAAGGTTCATCAATTTCAAAAAAAAGTTCATCAATTTTGAAAAAAGTTGACTGGATTTAAAAAAAATCGACCGGATTTAGAAAAAGTTCACCGGATTTGATTTTTTTTTACCAGATTTGAAAAAAAGTTCACTGAGTTCGAAAAAAGTTCACTGGATTTGAACAAAACTTCATCAAATTCAAAAAATGTTCACGGAATTCGAAAAAGAGTTCACCAACTGCGAAAAAAATAGAATTGGAAAAAAAGCTCCGGCGAATTTGAAATTTTCTTTTAAAAAATCTCGCGCATTTAAGAAAAAGAAAAAAAGAAAAAAAGAAAAGAAAAAGGGAAAGCTTCGCGAACAGAAAGGAATAAAAAGGGTGGAAAGAAGAATCTCGGTCGTAGTGGTTACTTCGATTTGCTTTCTACTATGGAGTGGTCTTGAGTTTTGAATCTCGGTCGCGCTGTTTCATTCGGTCCTTTCCAGAAAAGGAAAACATAGAACGGGCCGGCCCAGCTCGGACTGCTGCAGGCGCCCGTTTGCAGATTGCACTGTAACGGGCGCCTGCAGCGCCAAATAGGAATTGCGTCGGCCAATCCCCACCCAAATCCCCTCGTCACCACTCTCCCACACGGTCAAAGGCCACAAGCCCACAAGCTAACCCTAGCCGCCGCACCCCCGCCTCCCATCTCCGCCCCTCCTCTACCCCTGCACCAACGCCGCCGCCCCCCTTCATCAACGCCTGCCCGGGTCCCGGCACCAAGATCTGTTCCCCCGTGTCGCCCCAAATCCCCGAGCCGCCTCCACCAATCCACAAAAGGTCAGCCCACAACCTGAGTCCGCCTCCAGCAGATCCACCGCATACCGAGGGGAAGCAGAATCAGATCTTTGGCGATGGGTCGAGGCAAAAAGGATCCCTGGGCGGCGCGCGGATCCGTCGATCCAGTGGAGGAGGAGGAGGCGGCAGCGGTGATGGAGGTTGAAGAGGAGGAGGAAGTCAAGGGAGACGAAGAGGAGTGGAATCACGAGGAGGATGAGGCGGAGGAGGAGGAAGAGGAGTGGGAACAGGAGGAGGAGGAGGAGGCTGATGAGGCCTCGGCGGAGGAGCAGCCGGAGGAGCAGCGGTCGCCGCCCAAGCTGGCGGAGGGATACTACGAGATCGAGACCATCCGCCGCCGCCGCCGCCGCCAGAACCAGGTACAGTACCTCGTCAAATGGCGTGGGTGGCCGGAGAGCGCGAACACATGGGAGCCTGAAGAAAACCTCAAGGCCTGCTCTGATTTTGTTGAAGCCTTTGAGAAGCGGCAGCAACCAAGGTCCTATGGCAAGCGCAAGCGCAAGCGCAAGATCTCCACTGCTCCGGTGGTAAGTCCCAACCCTTCTTCTCAGGGTAGAAGGGGCCGCCCACGGCGTTCAGATCCTCGGTCTCTGTCCCAACGTCCTCTCCCGGAGCGCAAGATATTGCCTCCCAGAGCAAGCAGCAGGAGAGGTACTGATAACAGCAACAGGAACTTGGTTGCGGGCTCTGATGCATCAGTGAACGTGGCTCCTCAGCAAATGCTTGGACAAGGTGCCACACAGGAGGGCAGCTCAAATGTGCTCTCGGTTGGCCTGCCGTCTGTTGTGGTTCATCAACAGGATGAACATCAGCCTGCGAGTGGTGTGTCAAAGGTTGATAGTTCAGTACAGGGACCCCCACCTCAGGTTGGCCAGGTGACAGGTGCCAAGAAGCGCAAGCTTGGGTCTGTCAGGAGGTTCAAGCAGGATGAGGCGCAGCAGGAGCAAGGGCAAGTCGTCAATGGCACAAGTGAGAGGCCTGGCAATGAGAAAACTGATTCCGCACAAGGAGAAACGGGTGATAGGACCAAGGGAGAGGGCGGTGCTAACCGTTGCATCACTAAGATCATCAAGCCAGTGCGGTATCATGCCACCATGGCAGATGACGTGCAGCAGGTTTCCATAACATTCAGAGCACTCAGGTCTGATGGGCAGGAGGTTCTTGTGGATGACAAGGAATTGAAGTCTACAAACCCGTTGGTGCTGATAAACTACTACGAGCAGCACCTGCGTTACAGTCCCACCGCGTGAAGGATGCATGGAAGGTATTGGGTTGCCGTAGCATTCTTTAACCTTGTGGAATTTGCAGTGATATAGGTTAGCCTGGTTAATGTACTAGTTGTGATGAATGTAGTAGAATGTGTGCCCTTCTAGTTGCGACATATTTTGTTCAATATTTGTATAATCAGGGATTTATCCTAGGATGGCGTTTTGGCGCCCAAGTGCATCTGCACCTGACAGCGAACATCAAATTCGAAAGAAAAAGAAAAAAAGTCGTCTAAAAATATTCAGTACCGAAGATGTTCGAGTGTGCTAGGAGCGACAAATGACACTCTAGAAGGTCTATGCAAAAAAATATTCTCAAAGAATCTTTGAATAATTGCATTTTGGAAACGTGAATCTGTTTTTTTTCTAGAGCTCCTTGATTGTCATGAAATTTTGCACTTCCCTAGCAAACTCCAGCATTTTCGGTGTAAAAATAGATTTTTGAAAAAATGTTTTTTTATTTACTGTTTATACGGAGTTGATCTATTTGAGCTCATCTATGGATTATTTGATTTATCCTATCTAATATTACTTCATTCATTCCAGAATATGATGTGAATTTTTGGGAAAGTTGAACGTTTGTATGCTTGACCAAATTATGGAATGAAATATCAAAAATATGCAATACCTAATATATACAATATGAAAATACTTCTCATAATAGATCAAATGATACAAATTTGGTACTTGTATATGTTGATATATTTTTCTTAGAAACTTGGTCAAACACGCATGTGTTTGACTTTTGAAAAGATAAATGCACCTTATATTTTTGGAATGGTTGGAGTACATGTTGATAAGTTATTCTAGATTTAAATAAAAAAGGGCCTCTCCCAGTGCTCCACCTTGTACAGCCGCTAAGATTGCCAACTAAGCAAAAAATATGATGTGGCATGCTAGTTAAGAAGAGAGAGTAGAATGGTGACTCCAGAGAAAAACGGTGCTAAGGACGTGTACCTAGGTGGAAGCACAATTCTGAGTCTATAACGAATTAAATGCACGAAGCTTAGCACCCAAAAGCTTAGCACCTTTGCCTTGTGGACTTGAGTTGCTAAGGCATTTAATATGCTTAGCATCTTATCTAAGCACTTTTTCATTGAGGGAGGTCTAAGTATTTGGACATCTAAGTCCTATGTCATTGATTTTACACGGAGATTCATGTGAGTATTTGTTTTTTTATAATATGTGATTGAGTCACTTGGATGTCAATACTTAGATGTGCCCCATCAGTTTTTGGGTTTACGACCCAAACTAAATGTGTATTTACCTTTTGATTATGGGATTGTAGTGAAATTGTCATGGATGCTGATTTTAATGAATCTGAAATTAGGAGTGATGTCTTTAATTTTACTGAATCTGAAATTAGGGATGATGTATTTATTTCCTGTGCAACATGTCCTTGGGCTCCATGGCCTTCCCTTCCTTTTTATCAACAGTTCTTGAATTTAATTAGGGATGACCTTATAGCCATGTTTAATAGTTGAAATAAAGAACAACTAGATCTATTTAAAGAACCAGATGAAGTGTCCACACCTAAGTATAGATC